TACCCTAACCCTAACCCTAACCCTAACCCTAACCCTAACCCTAACCCTAACCCTAACCCCTAACCCTAACCCTAACCCTAACCCTAACCCTAACCCTCTACGAGCTGCCAACTCGAATTTCAAGTTAAGAGGCCGGCCTTCCTTGTAAGCCTCCTAATAGACCTGATACACCTCTTCGCCCGCCATATACCACTGCTAATTGGATTAAGCATCTAAGAACTAGCTAAGAACCCTACGAGAATAGTATTACTATGTAAGGTAGAGCTATATAGCGGCTTAATTAGTAGATAAGTATTTATTAACTTAAGGCTTCCATCTGGCATAGAGGAGAAGGATAGAAGAAGCCTGGCTCCCATCCCGCCCAGCTCTCCTAGACTTTTAGGAGAAATTAGTAAGCCTATTAGGGCTATTAATATAGATCACTTAGTAGATAAAGGGATAGTTAAACCCGATCCTAAGAGTAGAGGTGGCGGTAATAACCGGCTAGCCTCTATCACCAAGCCATCCAGAGAGAATAGCAGCCTTCTCTTCCTTAGTTCCTAACCTCGACATGTATATAGGGCACGCAAGAATATTAGCGAGTTGGGCGACTTCCTCCTAGGTCCGGCAGTAGATGATAATCTTATCTCGCGAATAGTTAAAGATCTCCTTCTTTAGCTAATATGCCTGAACCAGGTGAGCCGCCCTTGCAATAAGCGTCCCAGGCCCGGCCTCTAAGCTAACCATGTACTTAATATTAGGCCGGTTAGTTGACTCTCGGATAATCCTAGGCCTCACAAGCTTATTATACTCGATAAACACTTCTTGCATCGCAGGAGGAAGAGTTGCTATTAGCTAGACCATCTACGTCCTAATCTGCCGGACATACCAGCCTAGTTGGGCTATATATAGCTGGTAGTCACTAGCTATTATGGTAAGGTGACTCTTATTAATAATAATACGGTCCAGCTTCTGCTTACTAATAAGACCATAGCAGTATTCAAGGAAGCCTTAAGTACACGTAGCTTCTACTAATATAATAACTAGTAATGCTAACCGTCTACAATTAATAGACCAGATTAGAGGTAGGATGCCTACCTTATAAAAGCGTCTTAGCATATTATCCTAGAGAGCAACTATTAGTAGAACCAGGATGGCGGTGCTAGCATCTGCAATTGCAGCCGCAATTATAACAACTAAGGTCTTACCAGCGCCGGTCCCGATTACCAGAACCACCTGCTCGGCTGGCCGGGGCCCTATAATAGCGAGCACGCCATTCCGCTAACCAGGGACCCGGAACTGCAGGTCCAGTGCATTATACAGCTTCCAAGCTACGGCTAGCAGGTCAGCCTCAGCATAAGCACCTCTCCTACGCATCTAACTACGTTTAGAAGCATCCAGCATCCGTAGGGACAACGTCTCGGAAGCACCCCGCGGCCTCTTTCCCCGGAGAAGATAGTTGAACCGGAAGAAGGTACGCCAGTTAGATGTATGCAGGCCGGGCACCTTGGCCCAAGTGCATGCCTTACGCAAACAGGCCGAAAGCGTCCCGTCCGCCCACACTGTCCCGTCCAGCTTCGCCTACAGGTACGGAGAGAGGAGAGTGCCGGGAGTCTGCTGTCGGAGGAATAGTTGCCGTAAGGGTAGGACGTATGCTATATATATCAGCAGCAGATCCCTAACAGCCTTTAGCAAGAATCGGATATTGTCCTTATACGCGCCAGACTGCTGCTAACCCTTATAGTACTAGGTATAGATTATAACCAGCTTCTCCTAGATTAACAGATAGCGCTGTTAAGTATTATTCCGCTATATCACTAATAGCAATTCCGGTTCTCGTAATAGCGGCCCAGGTAAGATGTAGCATAGGACTAATACTTGCTTAAGGTACTCTTAGGCGTGTGCTTCATAGATTTTGATAGCCTTAGGATATAAGACTATGCTTCTATCCTAGGCCGTGGTTAAGAACATAGCCTGGAGCTTAGCCTTGCCCTAGATCCGCCGGATAAAGGCGAGGTCCGCAGCCTCTAAGAACTCGGAATTGCTTGGATGCAAGAGCCACGAGCCGCCGAAATCGTCCAGGTCTAGATCGTCCTTCAGCCGCCATAATTCCATTAGGACGAGATCCTTAGCTTAGAAGAGGAGCTCGTCATAGAGTAGGGTATAGGCTTCTTAATACTTAGAGACCACCAAGTTAGAGATCTGCGACATCTATAATTCCACCCCGCGATATTCCACCGTCTGCCTATCTAGGAGCCACCATGCTTAGTGTTTAGCAATTGCAGCCTTTCCAACCTTAAATAGGTATAGTTGCCACTATAGAATATGCCTAAACAGTGTCTTAGCTAGCTGCTAGAAGAACTTCTTGCAGATCTTAGCAAGAAAGACAGGGATCTAGTCTTTATTGTCCTGCTCTTAAAAACAAGTATAGTTAAAAAGCACGAGCTAGGCAGTCCACGTTAGAGCTAATAAATAGCTGTTAAAATTCCCTAGCTCCTCCTATAACCCTTGGCCTTTCCCACGGACTTTCCTGCTTAGCATGGCGCAGAAACTTAAGACGGGGGATTTAAACGGCACGCTGCTAACGGTATAGCAGATCAGGGCTAAGTAAAGTCGCTAAATAGCATGCTTAAGAGCCAGTTCAGCCTCTTCCTTATCCTTAATAGCTAAGGCTTCTATAATCTTATCTATAGCTTGGATCTATAGAGCAGTCGGCTGGATCACATCTCTAGGCAGCACTTAGTCTAGCTTAGCCCGCGTAAAATAGCCGCCTTTATAATGCACTACGCGGTAGTAGTATACTAACAGCTGCTTTATAGTAGTAAAGTAGGTAACTAGGATTGACGCATTCTTGAAATACCGGAATCCATCTGCTTTGCCTGACGCCCCGGCATAGAATTCGTTTAGGATATTGGCCCGCTGCTATATCATTTTCTAGTCTAGCAAGGTATTGCTGCATAACCGGTACGCATCTCTTAAGACAGCCTTAGCTGTAACTAAAATTCGGACGAGATTAGAATCTTTAGCATCCTTACCACCCTCCTTAAGCTCTTTCTTTAGTGGCAGCTTATATAAGCTCCAGATCTCCTTATCCTTTAGCGTAGTTAGGTGATATAGAAATCCCGTTACGTTATATAGCTATAGCACCCTTTCTAACCTGGAATCTCTAATATCCTGGACTATAGTTGCTTGCTTCTTAAGATTACATTTTATATCCTTATAATCCTTCTCTAACTGCTTAAACAATTCCTTCTCTAGCTCTATCAACAAGCCAGAATCTTGGGTGTGCCTACCTGTTTTCTTCTAACGTTTAATAACTATAAAGTAGTCGATTAGGCCCTTTCTAGTGAAGTATAAAATAAAACACTATTCTAAGTATAACCACTACTTTAGTTCTGCTAAAGCAAGTGCTGCTATATTATTAGCTTAGATATGCTCGTTCCTCCTAAGCAACACCGTCTCTCCTAGCTAGAGTATTTCCTTAGTATATAGGCAAATTTACGGCATAGGAGATAAGAGTAAAGAAAGATAATTATCTATTATTAAATAAACTAATTAGCTATATAACTTAAAATTATAGTAAAAGAAAGAGAGAGGAATCTATATTAGCTATATTACTTCAAAGTACTAGATTAAGCCGTTAGTAGAGGAGAAGGTTTGCACGAGGCACTTTAAGTACTTGCCTGTCTCCTATACCCTCTTCGGCGTAATACTAAGCTGGTGCTTAGATAGGTGGTGCTTTATCTTCCCCTTATAGGTCGTAAAGAACGTAGGGCCAAGTTAGCTAGAATAGACCTTACACTAGAAGCCGTTCTATACCTTAAGCCCCGGGATCCGAGCGATCCTCTCTCGAGGGACAGTGAGCTCCTTAAAAGAGCAGAGGTCGTATGTAGCAAACCGCTCGAGCAGGACCTTGCAAAGAGGGCCGGTAATCCGGTGGACGCCGTTTAGGTGCCAGTAATAGGCTGTCGGTTCAGGCAGGACAATCGACTTGCAAGTAATACAAATCAGGATCTTATATTTAGCATTATACATAAACCCATCCAAGGGACTAAGGATGTCCGTTAGACTAGGCCTCGAGGCCTTCTTTAGAGGCCTTACATTGCTTAAGGGGCTCGCTGGCCGCTTAGATCCGGTCGAAGGGGACGAGGCAGGCGGGGAGGGGTACGCGGTTAAGGGGGCTTGATCAATAACCGGCACTTAGTAGTGCTCTTAGTAATACTTCTTGTTCTAGCTCTACTAGAGCGTTAAGAGGCGGCAGTATATCTTAAGGAGCTCTAGTTAGAGCCTTGCTAGCAAGGCTTTATTAATAGCGTATATACTAAGTAGTATTTAAGGGTAGTGGCTAGCACTAGCTGCGATTATACTAATTAGGCTACTAGCATCTAAGGGGTGATAGAAATTGATTTTCTTGATAAGTTTACTAATATATTATTTGGAAATTGTAAGAGCAGCCTATTAGTAGAGCGCGAGAGTCTATGGAGTTGCGAGATTATAAGTGAGTTATATAAGGATCTTAGAAGCTTAAGAAGAAGAGAGGTGCTTCTTCTTATAACTTGGATCTGGGAAGAGGAATTCGGTGTGCCGGAACTAGGGGATATCAAGCTGGCTACCTAGGAAGTCAAGGAATGGTTAGATATAAACTAGATACTTAAAGATACTTATATTAAGACCGGCCAGGAGATATTATATGATATAGAATATATAATTATTTGAGGCTTGGGACTTATTATAGCTAATAATAACCAAGATCCGGCCCTCTCGGATAAAGATATTCCTTATAGCTAGTTTAGTATTATATAGCCGGACGCTCCCGATCTTGGTTCCTCGGCCTAGCAACCCGGCTGTTAAGTGGATTGCTGTAAAGATCTTCTTAACTAGTGTAGTTCCAGCCTTTAAGTAAGCTATATAGGTCTCTAAGCGCTAATAACTAGACTTGGCAAATGGCATATTAGAGAAAGATAAGGCCTAGGCTTGATGTGATAAAGCCTTATACCTAAAGCTTAAATTGTTCTCCTTATGGTCTAAAAACAACCAGCTAGGAGTTCGGCAAGTAAGGTCGTCTTAGATAGCGAGCAGGTCTATAGCTGGCTCCTAGCTAAGTATTATCTCGTCTACTTGCTTCTTAACTTAGGCTAGAGCTAGGTGGTGTACTATATAGAAGTCGGAAAGCCGGACCCTCTTATTATTGCTAATTGTAAAAGAGCGGCTATTAGCAGCCTAAGACAGGTTACTCGGGCCCCCTTCTTGCTTGATAATCGACTTAGCATAAGCCTTAAGTTCCACGATTTTCCTAAATGGACCCTGGCTCCCCCGAAGCAAGTATTTTATCTGGATTGCCTTAAGACGGTTGAATTGAGATAAGTAGGTGTACCAGGCAGGCTAAGGGATTGGTAAAGTGGTATAAGCATGTAAAGGCAGGGTGTACTTAAGAAAGAGGAGCCGGCCAATCCATATAAGATATGTAAATCTAGAAGTTGAATTATAAGCTGATTGGTAAGCTAGAGAGTGCTGGTGGATTCTAAGCATAGCTGTGAAGTGGATTAGAGTTGAGGAGGCTATATCTCCAGCCA